TTATTTGCTGTGTGTATAAGATCGACAAGAGAAGCCGTGTTTAAAGTATACTCTTACCACGATGAGCGCACGCTTATGCGAAAGAAGTAGATGGAATTTGATAAAACTAACCATCTGAGTATCTAATATCACAATCTCTTAATATTTTATCAAATAGAACTAACAGAATTAGGTTTTATACCCATAACATGTGTGTGGTTACAGAATATAGGTAAATTACAGTTTAATTTACAAATATAGTTTAAAATCTTATAACCGTCAAATTTTATAACCATACCTCCATATACGTTTACTGTTAAAATCTTATAATAATACCTACCTTTCATTCTCTTCACTATTTACCGTGTTTCCTAGATTCCCATGTTTCCATATCCTTAACAATTTGGTATATTCGTTTCGATCAATAAATGTAATTTGATGAAATTGATATGACATGATATAAAAAGGTTCAGTATAGCTTCCTCCAGTTTCCATCAGTTAGAACAAAAGTTATTCAAGAAGAAATATAAGAATATGGACGAAGTTAACAAAATACAGAAAGTAAAGGCCTAAACATGGTTAAAACTTATCGATACTTAAATGTTACTTTTCAACCAATAGCTCAAAAAGATTTGGAATTGATCAGACCGTTTGTATGCTGATCCCCAAATCGAAGAAGCAGTTATTGAAATATAGGCACAATTGTTTTTGTGCATTCTTAATTAATTAATTTATTCAACAAACTTCTCTAAAAATTTGGGAAGTTCTTGAGAAACATGAGTATCAATAAAAATACGTTTGCTCATTTGTAAGAAAAATTAGTGGAAGGAATGCAATAAAATTGATACAGCATATTTTTTCAGTAATCTGCAAAGTTTATCTATTTTTTTAAACAAATCGAACGAGCTGGTCTGAAATATATACCTGACTCAGAAACAGTAAAATATCCAGGATTTAATTTTTGAGGGAGCTTTCTCTATGATTATGGTAATTACTTTGAAAGAAAAATAAAGACACTATATAAAATGGCGTTTAAGTCGTCCTTGAAGAGCCGCTAAAAAAACTGTAATTACAGGAACAACGTTACTTTTAGAAATTAACTTCTTATATTTTTCCTTCACGAGTTCTTACATTTTATAGATGTACAGATATTATATTTTTTTTTTTGCTGCATTTACCCTGCATGGCCATTGGCATAACCTTTAATCCCTACTGTGTTATAGAATTTTATTCTTTTTAAAAATTCAAATGTGTTTTTAACAGCTATTTGCCTGCCGTTCAAGTTTTCTTTTATGCTTTGGGTCATGTCCAATTTTTTCCTAACAGTTTCAAATACAGGACAGTCTTGAAAGATGTGTTGGTCTGTTTTTTGCACCTTAAAATTTTTGCTGGTTGGTCGGTCCGGTCCTCTTAGTAGGTAGATATGCGAGAACTCACATTGTCCAATCCTTAATCTGCAGAGGGCTGTTTCTTCTTTCCTTGAGGATCGGTCCGAAGTTTCTTTTTTGAAACAACTGGTTTTTATGTTTCTAATTATTTTGCCACATTTTAGACACATCTTTTTATTTTTTAAGTAGCCTTCTACGTGGATTTCATTAGTTTCATTATAATACCACCGGAGCTGTTCTTAGCTTTCTTCCCGTATTCGCTGCTCGTTCGTCCTGCTCGTTTCCAGTGATCCCGCAATGCGGAGGGACCCAGATGAACATTATTCGTTTACTCTTCTTCCTTAGTAGCCACCAAACGTTTCTTATTTCTTTCGCTAGTGTAGTTTTCGGCCTGGCATCTTCATATTTATCTCATTTTTTTAATTTTTAATATAAATTTTCTTCACTACTAAAAATAGAAAAAAAAAATATTTCCTCCAAAACACGTTCAAATACGAAATATCCTCTATCATGTATAATGAAAAATGTTTTATTTATTTCTAAATTATATGTAGTGCAAAATAAATTGTCCAAGAATGGTCTAAAAGTATTGGAAATAAATAATGTATTCAATAAAGTATTAAATTGCATACATTTCTGGACCTTAATTAATAACTTCATTTAATATTCTTAACAGGTATACATTAATCGATAACATTAAATCGTCTTATTTTCAATAGTTTTGGAGATGATGTATATTTTATAACTATAGATTAAATTATTTAAAAACATATGGTTTAGGTACATAATTTAGGCATGTTATTAAAATTATTAGAGAAAAATTTACTAATACAAACAAAACAGAATTATAGAAAGTCTTTTTAAAGTTGAAAGAAAGACAGTAAGGATTACAGTAACTGAAGTGAATAATCTGAAAATTAGTAATAGCCTTCATAAATCCAAAAGTGATTGTGTATTGAAACACATCATTAAAGGGAGAGGGGAGAGATGTATGGCAATGAACATGTCTGAAAATTATAAACAGGAGGTATTTGACCAAAACTTCAAGGATTTATCGAGGGCAGACAGGTTTATCCCGCTATGAAAAAAGTCTTCCGGGTTCTCGTAAGAGAGGAAAATGAATTAATTTCTAATATATTGTTTTTCATAAACATTTCAATTTCGCAGCTGAAGTAAGAACGTTGAAAAGTTATTCGGCGCTTAATAAATACCTCGTTTACATGTTTAATGCACTTTTTCACTTAGGACGATTTTAACATATCTTTTTGTTTTAGTTATTATTAGTTCTCATATTAATGTATTGTGTAAATAACACGTAAGAAAGTAAAATAAAAATATTACTTGCATGGATGTTATGTATCTGTGTTTCGGATGTAAATGACACCATGTTTATTTTATTTATTTATTAAATAATTTAGTAACTTTATTTATTTATTTATTTCTCTCTTGCTTGCCTTTCGGCTACACGGGATTTGCAGGAATGTAATATCACAAACGTGCATGTCATTCTTGCTATTAAACGATAAATGCTTTTAACATTGTTGTTTTGTTTTTCAAAAACTCTTCCGTTTCCAACATTTTCTTTTCACCATATCAGTCTGGCGACCTTCCTTTAGCAGGTCCTCTTCTCCGGAGATTAAAGTCTGCGGACTCCAGAATCGCTTTCCACCCGTACATAAAATATTTGTAATACGGGTAGTTCTGCTCCGCCACTAACTGGGGAAATTCATCCTCAGTGAGGACATAGAGTCCAATTTTCTTCATCATTCTTGCCCTTAATCTATCAAAGGTGATGCAGTTGACTATGACATGCTCAGCCGTCCTCGGTACTTCGCAAGTGGGGCATAGGAGATCTACTTCTTTCCCAAAACCATGCAACTTAGCGCGGAAACCCCCATGCTCTGTAAGGAATTGAGATACCCAGTAGTCCGAGAGAACCAACTTCACATCCAAGTGACTTCGGTCGGTGTGGAAATATTTTAGTGACTACGGAACAAACTTCAATAGCTCAAACTTATGTATAATTGGCTCCCTGAACGAACACTAAAATGTGACAGGTTGTATTTTACCTCCGGAGTACTGATTTAATAACTAAGAAAGAAATTATAATAGCTCAAAGTTATAGAACATTGTCTCCTCTGAAAAAATACAAAAATGGACATAGTGTTCTTTATCTCCGGGGTACTACAGATATTTGGAAGCCTTTTTTTGACTGTCGGCGTGTGGTGCTTCGTATTTACTCTTATTTATTTATTTTTTTCCTAATATAGAAAATTTGACTCATTATTTCTATACCTGTATTGGAGAAACTTTAGGCTTTGTTCTGGGAACCTCAAAGAATATTTTAATGTAATATTAGTTTATTAAACTTATGTATGTACTTATTAAACTTACGGTATATTACAGATTTATGTATCTACACTGTAAGTATGTAATACGGCAGTATTAATCGGTTTTTCTGGCTCTCAGGAGCAGGGGTGTCCAACCTCCCTCCTCCCTCCCCCCAAAGGTCTATGGTGCATGAATTAAATCAGAATATTAAAAATTATAGGTAAAAATCATTACATTTTCAGTGGTCTGTTCTATGTTTTCCTCTTGTCTCTTGGTTTGAAACTTTTCATTTCGAAAATTCATAACCTCATCGAAATTTGCTCCCCTCAAAAAAATTAATGGCACATCTTGCACCATGAAACCCCCATTTTTACCCACTCAGGAGTGCTGTATTTTGTTGAACAAGGTATCAAATGAGGTGAAATTTCACGGAGAAATGTTGGATTACAATTTCGTTTCTTAGATTCCATCAAGAAATTTAATAAAAGTCATTGAACAAATAAGGAGACTCCAAAATTAACGAATCGTGACTGAATAAATTGTGTTTTAAAGCCCTACAATATTGTGTTTACGAGATGAATCATAATTCTTTCCGAATGGTTGGTAGATGATCCTTATCACGTGTTTAGGTATCAAAAATTAAAATATTGAATTTTATGTTAATCATCGACAACCTAAAGATCTATTGAAAAATTAGATGGAGAATAATAGCTCTACGATCCCATGGGAAATCCTGATAATATTTACAGAAAAAAATTGATATTTTTAATTTTAAAAAATACAGGTATGGCTTCTATAATCTCAAAAAATAGATTTCCATACTTTTATTAAGTAATAGAATTAATTACGAAGGCTTTTCTATACCAAAGAAATAGATCCTCAGTGAGTACAATAATGGGCCAATGGGGGGGGGGGAGGGAATGCTTGCTAGGTTAACTGGTTTTAATTAAATGCATGTATTCAGTTAAAATATCATTTCATTAACGTATTAACACGTTCCATATTTGATTTTTTGAAGGATTAATTTCATATTTGACTGTTTAAGTTAATAAGTTTAGGTAAGAGGATAACTACAACATCTCTCACCATCAATAATGAAATATATTTTTCAATTTAATCTTTAAAACATATATATATATATATATATATATATATATATATATATATATATATATATATATATATATATATATATATATGTTTATGACTGTATCCATTTTTATTTAATTGGAAAAGTATTGTTACTAAAAACCTTGCAAGCTTGGTGGGGGTATCAGATCTGACGTCACTATCTTGTTACAGCTGTGTGTGCCGCCAACTGCCATAGAGAGAGGGGATACTGCAGGAAGCCTGGAGAATGCAGGTAAAACGAATTATAATAATTAATTTATTTTCTACATATAATTTGTCAATTAGCAAATTTATTTATCTTGTTATTTGTAGCATTTTTTGTTGTCATTGGAAAAAAAATTAAGCAAACTGTTTGTTTCTTGATGTTGGTAGCATCTATTACGACCGGAAATGTTGAACTTTCATTTCAATACAAAAACTAATCAAAATGAAAAGCTATAAATAAATGTTTTTCTTCACATACTTTATGTATTTGGCAGTGTGATATTAATAACAATAATAAATTATTAATGGATAAATGGTGATATGAATGCAATGTAACTGTTAATGGACGTGTATCTTGTAAATTTCCTCAATCATAACTTATTTATTAAAATGATTTAAATTTGAATATCATAATATTTACCTTAAGAAAATTCGTTTATTAGATACAGGGTTCTTTTTTTTTATTTACTATTTTCTGAATATCATTATCTGACTGTTAAAAGTATTTTATTTGTTGAATTTAATTGATACATTAAATTATAATGATGTATTGATTAATATATTGATATTGATGTATTTATTGATTGATATCTAATGATTATCATGGATATATTAAATCGTAATGATGTATTATAATATTTCTTCACTATAAGGTAATACAATCCAATGTAAGTTTTTTTATTTTGAAATGGATTTCTATATTTATTTTTATTATTATAGTTATTTCTTTCGTAATTATAATCACATATTTTAAAAAATTTATTTTAAAATTTAGTAACTTAATAATAATTCCTCATTCCTTATGTATAGTATTTTCTTATTAAATTTTATTCTTTTCTTCCAGATGAAAAAAGAAATAACAATAAATAAACTTAAATATTTGCATTGTTTATAGAATTTACTATGTCAATATTCAGTGTTCGTTTTGATTTCATTTTATCTTTTAAAGGATAAATTAAAAAAAAAAATTAACAAAGATATTAAAAAAAAGCTTATTTCCACTTCATATTTTTAAAAATTGACTAAAAAAAAGCTAACATGATTCCCGTTTCAATTGTTTGATTTTATGGATATGGCATGAAGCATACAAATCCTATCTCTCTTTTTTGTTTCAATAAACATTTTGGAGGGTAAGAAAAAAAAAATAAAATAAAAGGATTGAATTATAAATATTAACTGTCTCTAGCAATTATTGTGGAATAGAAAAGGTACAATTTCTATTTTAATGTAGGTACTGCCCACGACACACAATGGTCAAAACTTGTGGAGCCAAGTCGGCATTTTGTTCTGCCTCATCTTCTTCCGGTTTATCTAGCAAAAAATCAGAGAAATTAGGGAATACCATCCTTAATTACTTTTATCTTCTGACCCATATTCATCTTTCATGAAAAAAAACAACATAGAAATATAACAAACAAAAGAAACAAAACTTAATGTCCTGGATCATTGAAGCTTTTAAATATCTCTGAAGACAATGCTAATTGAAATTCATTTTATATATATATATATATATATATATATATATATGTGTGTGTTAGACTAATGAAGAAATAGAAAATAGTGGATGATACCTTCTGGGGATACTACTGAAATTTAGAGCTAAAAGTTTTACTATATAAACATAATAAGGAATGTATAAGAATTAAATAAATCAATCAAAACATTGTTGGCACTTTTAGGTGGATGATTTAAAAGTTGTGTTAAGTAATTAATGGAAAACTTTGAATGTCAATAACTCAGCCGGATACAAGTAGAACCTAACTAAATTAGATGGGTTTTGGCCATTGTTTCATAAGGAACAAAATGATAAAATTCACATTCTATGACCTGTTCCCTCTTAAAAGATATTGCGATTTTAAAATCATAAATTTGCACGTTTTTTTAGTTTTTTTCCATCATAGCTTTCTTCAGAAGGGGTTTTCGCAAAAAAATAATAGCATATTTTCTTCTCAGAATTAAATTTTCTATGAGATGGTGTAAAAACAAATTTGAAATTTTCATTAGCTTGGAAAATACCTAAAAAAATTGTTTTATTTTCTTTGCCTATTTATCTTTGTATTTGTATGCCTATTACTTTGCCTACTTAAATCCTCTTTACAAAGTCTAATGTCAAAGTTCATATAAAGGAAATATAAAAAATCTGCCTGGACGAACAAAATGCCGATTTGATTAAGTTTTTAGCACTGTGCTGCAGCGAAATAGGTTCCTATCTATTCCACTAAAGGAGTGTTTAACTGCTAGCAGTCGACGCGGTGAGCAGTAACAGCGAAATAGTACCTTAACTAATTTTTAATTGTTTGACAATTAGCCCGTCATTGATGTACAGGTTTCTTAGGCTTCTCCTCTTATGATTAATAATAATTTTGTTATAACTTCATTTCTTTCTTCAATTATAATAATAATCATGAGAGAGTACCAATTCAATACTTATTTTGTGAATAGAGCCCCTTGATATATAACACTAAATACAAAATAGTTTCATATATGGATAGTTAGTTATGTGTCCCTTGGCCATGCATGTTTTTATAGAAACTGAGATAAAGGAATAAAGTTTCTGTAATAGAAACATTGATAAAAAAAATTAAAAAGTCCATAATGAAATCATGTATTTTGATATGTTTTCGTTTCCAACGCTTATTCCAGAGGAATGCTCCTCTTTCCTAATGTCAATAAAAGTCCTTGATCGTTGACCGTTACAGGAAACAAAGAAGGTTCTATGTTAATGTCAAATATTAAATATTTGTACGTTCATTTACAAGGATAATACACTGGGTAGTAGAACATTTGGAATTCCATTTGTTTTGTTAAGAAATCGGCTGATCATTTTCTTTAACCTTGTCCCTTATCGAGAACGATAAAAAAAACCGTTACTGACAGGTATAAAACTCTAAAAATGTGAGCGAAATAGGAAAAATCAGTTCAAGCAGATCTGTTGGAAACTTTTATCTCTTATTCTCCTGCTCTTAAGGATTACAAACATTATTTTATTAAACAACAAATTTTATTGTCAATTAAATAAAATGGACTGCTTATGACGGTCACAATTTAACATCATTTTCTACCGAATATTTTGTTTGATAAAAAAAAAAAATAAGAAAAATAGCTAATGCTTAATTTTTTTTAAAAATATTTCCAGGAGTTGTGCATTTTAAATTATTACTAGTAAGAATAAAGAAGGATTTTAATTGTAACTAAAATTAATAATTGATACAAAACTAAATATATATATATATTTATTTGTAATACTAAAACCAATCTGTCTCTTGATTAGTTTGTTACTAAGTTGTATTAATTTATTTTTAATGTATATTTTCATCTTAATGAATACACTTCCAAGCTAACTTTAATCGGATAACTAAATTCATTCTATCCTACATTCTTCCTACTTTACATTTAGTCTTAATTTGGGGTATATTTGACTGACATTTTCGAGCTAACTGGCTTGGAAAAAGACAAGCTGGGACAAGTTTAAATGGGACAAGATCTAACCGTTAGAGCTTAGCTAAGAGTGGCTTACATTGATGCCATCGACCGAATAACGGTTACTTTAATACTAAGCTATTCAGGAGTGAAATTTATTACTTGTCTACATTTATTCTATATTTATTTATCTAAAGTACCACGTTCAAAATACCGTATAAACGCTATTTCCGCATAGAGCTGTAAAAAAAAAAAATCAAAAGCTATAAAATTTAGGATCTTATCAACAAATATCAAATTTAAATTAAAAATGCACTTTACTGAGAAATAAGAAAAAAGTAAGGCTAGTATAGCTTCCTCGTCTTTTTCATCATCAACTAAATATTTTTATTACAAGATCTAAATTGTTTGTATGAGAATAAAATCTCTGGGAGAAGCCGTTTTCGGAAATTCAGTAATCCCTCAACAAATACGTGTTTGACATTCACGAGTTTTGTTCATAAGGAATACTAAAATGCGAAAGAGTTCCGCATTTGCAGATTGCATACTTCTTAAATTCGTGATTAAAACAAAAATTCCTGGGCATACTGAAAATTCATATCAGTCTCTCACCTTTGCAGTCTCTCATGAGTGCAAAAGGTCGTATGTGAAAATTGAATGTTTTACAGGAGAGCACAAAAACAATAATCTCTTCATGATTTATTAGTATAATTTCATATTTTATTTTCCTTTAATATTTTCCATTGTAGTAGACTACGTATATCAGTTACAGACTACAGAATGTCAAATATAGAATAAAATTGAAAATCTGTACATACCACCTTTTATACTAACAGTAGTTATATATACTTAATAGGTGTGTTTTCACACGGAAAATGGGCGGAACAAAAAATCCATAGGAATAATTCAACTTTTTGTTTGTTCGGAGTTAACGAGACCAATTAATTTTCTTCAGTCAGAACAAAAAAATTTTTAGCTGGAATATAAAAATGTAAGCGAAGTTCTCACAACTTGATGTTTAAGGATGAAATCGAGACCACGACGAGCTGATTGAACTTCAATAGAAAATACACAATCATAAATACGACTACATTTTTTGTTTACAAGTTTAGAGTAAGAATTAATTTAAATTTGTTGAAAATTACACGAAATCTAAATAACGGCAGTAAGCATCATGCTAATAACATTTGGAAGTGACCAAACAATACAGTATAAATTAACTTTTTGAATAAAACCTTATTAAATTTTATAACCTCATAAAAATATTGTATTAACCTAACCCTCATTGCACATGATCAATGCCTTCCACATTTCAAAGCCATTATACTGTTTTTTATAACAGTTATTTGTATTAATCTTGATTATAAAACGGAATTCAATGAAATTCATACAATGCAATTTCTATAATATTCTCATAATTTCCTCAAAGTTTGAGTCAAACTGAACGAGCCGTTTAAGACTATAGGCATATCATATTTACCGATCCGAAAGCGGAAGTTTTGTTTTTGGAGTAGTGGCTAGAATTTGATAAAATTCATACGTACTTGATTATCTGTTTACCAATCCCTAAATTCTCTCCAAATTTGAGCCAAATCGAACATACGGTTATAGAGATATAGACTTATCTAGGAAAAAACGTTTGCTCATAGATAAGAGAAAGTAGAGAATAGATTTCAATGAAATTGATACTGCTTTATTTTTGTGTTAATATCTAGCTCTGAGCAAAATTAAACGAGCCGTTTCTGAAATATTGGCATATCTAAAAATACATTTGCGCATGCGTAAGCGAGAGCGCTGGATGGAATTCGATGAAATTGATATAACTATTGATAACCATCTAGACGCCGACACGCATAATCCCTGAAAATTTCATGAAAATCGGATAAACGGTTGTAGGTAGATATGGTCCTACTTCGATTTGGCTACAGACAGACATCGAACCAAATTTGATCCTTGATGTCTGAAACATAAAATGCGAGTGGAAATTTTCGATTCTGAGCATACAATTTTTTTTTTTTAATTCTCGCACGAATACAATGCTTTCCTACCTAGGGTAGTGAGTAAGCAATAGCATATTCATCGCAGATCCGGGGTGAAACCAAAAATGTCTATCAATACAAATTTTAATGGTTTAGATCCTACCTATATTAGGTATCCAAACCTGAAATGTTGGATCAAACCAATGGATATCAACAGTCAATATATAGTAGAGAATGGGTTCTTAAAATTATATAGTAGGGCCTCCTCTTGAACAAATATTTGTTTACAAACATTTCTTTTCGAGAACTAACATTTAACACTTTTATGTCGATAACTACTTAAGCTGATGATTAGTTGATTATCAATGAATACAAAAGATGTTGATTATTTTTAGATTTGTATTAAATGAGTTATTTGAGCAAAATCGAAAAGTTGGGGGATGTGAAGCTAATGTCAAAATTGTTTCACGAACCGCTAACAATGACTCGGACCCGTCTTTCTGATTTCAAACTTTTGCATACCTTCCAAAACGAAAAGATAGAAATTTTGGATGCGAATTGAATTGGTGTCAGGAAAGTGCCTTTTGTGTATCTGAACTTTTTTATTCCACCCAAATCAACAGTTTTGGTACGATCTCCCTTTATTTTTTTAAGTTTAGAGCAATTCTACAAACCCTCAAAATTTTCTGAGAGGATTAAAACGAATTTATGAATTAAGTTAGTGTTAGAGAAGTACTTTTGGGATATTGGTCTTTTTTGACGACGTCCGCCATTTTTCTCAATTAATAATACTTTATGGAATATTAAAGTCCCTCCAGATTGAATTAGACGGTTAAACATCTGCATTTGAATTGATCTGGTGCTGGAAAACTGGATTATGGGTCTTAAATGTTTCCCGAGTTACTGTTACTGTGGCTTATTTTTTATTCACCGTAAGAGTCCGCTTCTTTTGAGAAGTTTCATTATAGTAACTAAAATGGGCTTGTATTAGTAACCATTTAGTTTTAATTCATATTAATGAAAACGCGTTTGATTAATTTTTAGGGGCAGGGTGGCCGAGCAGACTAACGAGTGTGCATAGCACTGCGCGTTGCCCGGCAATCTGATGAACGAAGTTGGAGACAATAAAATAATTATAAGTTCGCGTCCCGCTATCCAGGCGGGGTCTTTTAACTCTGCCATTAATCCTCCGTCCACCTAATTTGGCCCGCAAAAACCTCTGTATAACCTAAAAGACGAGGTAGGGGTAGAACAATAAAAAATTAATTTTTTATTATTATGTGGAAAGCTATACTCAAATATTATAAAGCTAAACGTCAAATAAAGCTATACGATTCCACAAGATAAAAAAACGCTGTTTATATTAGGTGATTAAAATGTTTAAGCACCGTACTATATGTTAAAATAATCTCAGTTTGACTTAACTGCAAGACTTGCAAGACCCTTGCAGGTCTTGCACAAGATTTGAATTGTCTGTTCTTGGTCTTGGTCTTGTAAACATTTTTTTGGTCTTGGTCTTGGTCTTTGCAAAAGTGTCTGACCAAGACCAAGACCGCAAGAGCAAGACCGATTTCGGGCAACAGTAATAGTAACAATTAGAGGGTTTAAATCCTGTGTATAAATTGAATTGGTGTTAAAAAACCACAAGAAATGCTTTTCAGATGCCATGGTGGAGCAGGCATCTCCTTTTATATATATTGGAACATCAGATTTAATATTCCATTCGTGACCGGAAGGGAGGTAATTAGCTGATATTTTATTCTTATTTTTAGCTGTAGCTTTCCTGATCTACTCACACTGATTGGATCATTATAATTTTTATGAAAAAAAAACACACACAATGCTCACTAATTGTTTTAAAGAAAGAATGAAGAATACATATCATTTATTTACGCATTACATTTACTTTTTTTAAATTATGCTCTAATTGAGAATCTCAATTTATCTCTGAATCTGATGATAAAACCACCTAAGCAAGGAACTACAAAATCGAAATCTCGTAGACCATGGTCTAGAAAACATTAGGCCCTATGCCATTAAATTATTATTACAGATATATGAAAAAAATATCTCCATCTTATCACTGATTAATTACATTTATTTCACATTGTCTATTAATAATGAGAGTGAATGTAAACCAAAAACGCTACAAATCATTACACAATGGTTTATTATTTTCAAATGATTTAAGATCAACATTTAAATTCTTTTCCATGTAAAATTAAGAAAAATAAATAAAAAGGGATTCCTAATATTGGCCTATATAATTGTCTTTTTCGTCATTGATAATTTGCTTTAAAAAATAGACAACAATGCTACAGTTGGTGTAAAACTAAAAAAAAAATCAAAAACCAAAACAAAAGATATAAGCTTTGCAGTAGAATATATAAAATACATTTAGAATACTACATCATTGCACCAAATTAATTGATTTCAACTTTTTTTTTCTTGTTTTTTAGTATAATTCGTAAACTTTTAAATAACCATATACAAAATTGAATACTTCTTGAGTTATTTGGAATCTAACTTTACCACCCCTCGTAACTTTTTTCCCAGCTTCTTTTCGTTGAAGTATGTTATATAGATAAATTTCAAGGTCATCGAGGAGAAGACTTTAGCCAAATTTAATTGAAATCGGCACATTCGTTTAGGCACTACAGTATATACAAACACAGGTTTTTCGGCCGCCGCCTTGGAAGAAAAGGGCGGATAGTAATGTCGAGGTAGGAGGATCATCCTCGGGTGACCTCTGACTTTGAGTCCAAATTTGAAAAAAAATCGGTTGATTAGTCTCGGAGAAAAGTCGCCGATGGCGGACGGACAAAAAAAATTTTATTCGATTTCCGAATTCTACGTATCGTAAAACACAAATCCTCAAATTTTGAGACGCTTAAAATGGTTCATTATTGAAAATAATAAACCAAAACAGCCAGGATTTGACCTTAATATAGAAGTAAACGTTTGTATTGATTCTGTACAGTTGTTTTATTCATTCTATATTGTTCTCCCTTGTCTTAATCAATAGATTATTATTTGTTTTGTAAATAAATAACTACTGATAATTTGCCTCGACAGGTGTAAAACGGGCTGGTGGGGCAAGAGCTGCGACAGGTGCTACCCCTATCCCGGCTGTGTCCACGGAGACTGCAGGAGGCCCTGGGAGTGCAATTGTAAGCCTGGCTGGGGAGGCATGCTTTGCGACCAAGGCAAGTATATCTACAATAACTGAGGGCAGTGTGTAAGTCAATATAGCTAAGGCAACATAACTAAAACAATTCAGATATGAATCATTCATATTAAGTTTTAAAACCACTTGTAATATACAGATTAATATTTCTTCTTCTTCAAAGGCACGACAGACGCACAAGGTTCTTGGTCTACTCCAATGCTCTAGCTCAGACATTTCGGTCTCCTGCAAATGACTGTGAAAGGCCATACATAACATCTGCAGTTCTATTGTCCTTCCTTCTTCCTCTGGTCTTCCTTTCTCGCGCTCTCACTCCCTCTGGAGGGCTGGAGTAGAGGTTTTTGGATGTTTGGTCATTGTCCAATCTTAATAGATGGCCCAGCCATCTCAACCGTTGTATTTTTACGAATGCTGAGACTCTTAGATCTCCATTATTAAACTATTATTTTAATTCCATTTAAGTTAAATGTAGGGCACTAATTTGGATATTTTACTTTTACTTACATATACGTAATATAAAGTAAGAGAAAGTATTGCGATCGTTAAAATTTTCAAAACTGAGTTTTCAACGAAAATACACGTTTTGAGGTCCCATGAGTCCAAATAACCAAGTCCCGCTAAATGGTCTGTGTGTGTGTGTGTGTATGTACGTGAACAGGCTATTTTAAGAACCCGAATTTTCTTTAACTTTGGACCAAATCGAATGATCTATTTTTGAAGTGGATGGAAGGAGTGGATGAAACTTGATAAAGAACCTCTAGGTACCAACTCGCTTAATCACTGAAAAGTTAACCAAACTTTACTGAATACATGACATATAATTATGATAGGAATGCACAAAGTCAAACACTTGTGTATACGATTCTTCAAGTATCCTCTTGGTTTCCAAAATGTTAAAAAGATTTCTTGTCATATTGCTGAAACCTATCTGTAATGTATCTGCAAAGACCTGACAATAATTATGATTCTGACAATAATTTTCAAACCTCTTACACAATTTAGTGAAGCTTTACAAAATCATAAAGAAAAAAAGAAAAAAAGAAAAAAAAAAGGCAGAAGGTGGATAGAAATATTCTTCTTATAGTTTGGAACATATCTTACTCAGAAAGGGCACAAATGTTTAAAATAATAAAGTATAAAGAACTGATATTCCTAAACTAAAAAAAGTTAATAATTTAAAATTATATTTAGCACTGTACTTGAAATATATTCTACATAGAAATTCCACATTTACTTTTAGGTTTGTTTTCTGGCCAGTAGTGCATTGTGTTTAATGAAAAAAAAAAGTAATTCTTCTTCCTCAAAATTAATTCCTTTAACTTTTTTGTATATTATATTACCATTTTATTACTGACCAATAATACACTGTGCGAATGATTCGCTCGGTTCCAAACAGTTTTCAAATATTATCGTTGTTTCCTAGTTGCGGCACAATCCTAATACAGGGTGGTACAATGAAACAAGACATATTTGAAACACTTTATTATAGTCGAATTTCAAAATAAGGGTGATATTTTAAAGAAGTATAAAATAAAATAAAATTACCTCTCTATAATATAAAAATGTTTTTAGTGAATATCATGTTTTATTTTATTTTAGTATTAGCAGAACTTTAAGATATTACAATAGCTGTCCTACGAGCTCTGCAAACTGGCATTAATTATAAAGCTGTTCATTTAATTACGTGTGTTTTGAGCACCTGTAACTTCCTACTATCCTAATACAAAATAGAGATTTGCACCCTAGTATCTTCGTTACAGTATTGAGATCTTGTAACCTCCCCTAATACAAAATATAGATTTCAGACCAAAAATTTTTGTACAGAAAATAGTATTCATCTGGAGATGGTAGTTTGATTTTATCTAGGTATATAACCTAACATTTGTTTTTTAATCTAGACATTTTACTCTTGATTACAATATATTGATTATTATATTATATATAATATTATTTATATTACATTGTGATTTAATAATTATTATTATTCCATAATAATTATTATGGAATAGAAAAGGAAGTACAATATAAGGTACAATGAAAACATTTGAAATAAAAGGCTCATATTAATGTTGTGCTTATATGAAGCTGGACAAGTTATGACCATAATATATAATATAATGCCTTTCTGTTATTACTTTTGCTATATTATTATATTATTGTTTTATTTATTTGTTTTTATTTATCCAGGTTATATTTTTTGTTTCTCTGTATACTAATATATAGTTCTTTTTTTTCCATTACATTACAAGTAATCCTGAGATTTTATTTTATTTATTTTTAATGTTTGCACATTATTATTGTAATCACTGTAGATATGATTACATTTTGTATTAAGTTATTTTTTTTTAATTAGTTAGCCAATTGTTTATAAATTTTGTAGTTATGCACATATACGTAATTTATTTATTTTTATTCTTATTTTTTTTTACATCAAAAAAATAAATAATTTAGAGACGATCTTATGTTCATTTAATTTTTTTTTCTGTTTATTTTTTAGTGGTTACGTACTATTTTTTAAATAATGCATATAATATTAGAATTTTTATAAGTTAGTTTTTGACCAGATTTGTATTTTCTTTTATATTAATTCATCATTGTTATTCTAAGGGGACTTAGTCCCAGAATATAGTTCAATATCCTATTCTATTCTATGGTTAAAACTTGAGAATAATTATAATTTAATAATAATAATAATTTCCAACAAGGCACGATGTTTAATATAGATTTTTAAAGAAATTAAAAAATTCTCCGAACTGTGGTTTCGTTTATTTTATTTTATGTTGATAAAAATAATACAATATGAACTACAGAATAGATGTAAATTACAGTTATACAACTTGAGCAATAAGTAGAAAAATCAAGTGAAGAATTGTATAATTTGTAAAATGGGGGTAGGTCTGCCGTCAGGCGGACAGGAGTGACCCCATAGTTATTAAAAAAACTTTAAACTTGAAAATGATATCAAATTAATGAAGTGCGGCAACACCTGCAAGATTAGTATCCATCGAATGTTTAAGTGTTCAATATCTCGTGTCTGGCCTTTGTTTTTCTGATGTAGCAAATCAATCATAGGTTATAATCATCCGATTATTTACTTTGATCGCGTGATCACTGAGAGTAGTGATCTTTTCTGGCAACTTAGTCTATGTAAATATTTCTTGTGGGATCATCTCTTCAGGAACCGCCTTCAGGGCCGAATAACCGTTAGCAACGTCAATTATCTCTAATAATTTTCTATATTAAGCTTCTTTTTATAAAATAAACTTTTTCTTGTTTACTCCCCAAACTGTGCTTCATTTCAATCCTCTAAGTCCAATATGGATAATTTTACATATGCCTAAACTACGTTTAACATCTCTTCGCACGTCATTTATCTTATATAAATTTTCACAATTAGATTTTTGGTTTATTATTTTCAATAATCAACCATTGTGATCGACCACAAAATTCATAAACTTAATCCCCTCTCAAAATTTGAGGTTTCACGTTTCAGGATGCGTAGAATTCGAAAAACGAATACAAATTTATTTTGTCCATCCGCCGTCCGCCATTTTCTCAGAAACTCCTGGACCGATTTTTTTTCAAATTTGGATATAAAATCAGAGGTCACCCGAGGATAATCCTCCTTCATCGACATTACTATCTGCCTTTTACTTTTAAAATGGCGGCCGAAAAACCTGCGTTGCTATAGACTGTAGCTCCTAAACGAATGTACCGATTTCAATGAAACTTCGCTAAAGTCATTTTCTTGACGCCCTTTAAATATATCTATATAACATACTTCAACGAAAAGAAGCTGAAAAAAAAGGTAACAAGAGATGGTAAAATTTAATTCCGGATAACTCAAAAAGTATACACTTTTTTGTCGATATTGTGATAAGATGTTTCAAAGGTTCAAACGTTTTTATAAAAGTTTACGGAATTTCCTTAAAAAAAAAAAAAAAAATCGTGAAATCGGACAATTAGGAGCAAAGATATGGTATCCAGTTTTTTTATATGTTCTACTCTAAATGTTGCATCCTTTGTATGATTTTTAAATTTTGAATGTGTTACTGAAGTAATACTATTTTTTTTTACCATATTACTGATGATAAAAAAAAAAAGTTTAGTCCAATAATTGGAATCACCTTTTATTTATTTTTCTTTGTAACTAGGAATGTAATTTTACTTTAGATGTATAATAGTTTGGAAATAATAAACCATTGTGAAATAATTTGTAACGTTTTTTTGCTCTCAACGAATTGTGCCTTGCCTTATTGTAGGTTAATACCATATATTAGGTTAATAAATTAAATATTTGAATACATAGAATGTTTATTTGTATTGTAATAATACTAATTGTTTCAATCAATATATACACTTTATAGATTTTAATTAGAAAATCAATGAAAAATATTTTATTCGCGTACCTTTATCAAAACAATTCTTATGCTTTTGTTTTAGAGCTAAAATATTGTCAAGATCACCCAGGAACTTGCGAGAACGAAGGGACCTGTATCTCACTGGCAGAAGAAGACGGTGATTACCGCTGTATTTGCAAGGAAGGTTTCACAGGGCGAAACTGTCAGTTAAACAGGAACGTAAGTAGATGAGAAATCATGTCATATTATTAAAATATATTTCTGAATATAATTAATTAGTTACACCCACGCGGTTGTAATTGGAAATAATTATTTATCGCCATAGCCGGATTTGAACCTGGGACCTATCGCATTTATTTATGAGTGAATGGTATCAAACAAAAGGGATTTCTTAGAGAAGTGGCAGCTCTCAATTTTGATTCATTAGTTCTGACAACATACCAGGCCATCCATTTAAAGTTCTAAAATATACTGTTTCCAAGATAAATCGTGATTCGTGGCAAAGCATCTTAGGTGGTATGATAACCCTGGGATACTTTTTAAGTTGTCAGATGAAGATAATTGTCCTTCATTGTTCTTTTCTTATTTTACCATGAAACAAACAAGTTCATAAAATAAATTTCACATCGACTTTGCATGATCTTTAGACCTTCACTAGAGTAGCTATTGCTTTACAAAACTTAATAAATATAGGAAAAACAAATAAATTGTACAGAACAATCTTTATTTACTTAACTAATGATTATTTATTTATTAATATTTTTTTTTTTTTAAAGTGTTATATTCTGAAACAAGGAAGTATCTTTAAGTCCAATCTATTACATGACAATTGCACAGTCTTTACCAATGTTCATCCTATTAATGCATTCCTCTTTAGATTATTCTAACTTGCCCAGCAATCTTTTCCTGGATGCTGATTAAGCTAAAGCAATACTTATATACTGATGAATATCATCCACGTGCCTGTCATTGCCCAATGTATAATAGCATATATCAAATGCTCAACAAACATCGTTGTTAAGGACTTATTGACTAAAGATGGTGAACACAATTTTTACCATTTTCGCCATTTTTGAAATTTTAGCAACTTCGTAATTATCGCCAATTCCGCCTTTTTAAAATTTTTCGTAATTTTACTGGTGAGCTGATGGTAAGGTTGTGCTCTCAACTGGCTCTCAGTATTTGTCTATTTTTTTTTCAGCGGAATCTCTCAGATTTTTCATTGAATACAGTTCACGTGTACATCAGAGCAGTTGATATTTGCTGTTTGATACAGTTTTTTTTTTTTAATTTCATCTTTTTTATTTTTTTCTTCCTTCTTCTTCTCTTATGATATGCGGTATTATCACCAGGTGATGTCTGGTAATATGCGAAAGAGGATTCGGTCAGGCGGTGTTAGTACACCTCGTGGTTCACCAGCCAAAAAAAGAACTCGTCGCTGCGTACGACAAACACCTCCAATAACCTAAGTGAACACTTCAGAACCAGAACCTCAGCCACAACCAGGTACTTCTTCGCAAGAAATGATCGACAATCCCTTTTCTTTACTCCAAATCCCTACCAAGTGCTTCCGAGAGGTAATGGAGTCTGCAGCAGTTGAGAGCTCGAAGTTCATCTGACACAATACGACGGCGGCCCATGCTTAATTGGAGGATGGTGATTCTATACATAGAAAGTCTTCTTCGCGACTTCATAGGACCACTTCAAATGCACATTCCCGGTTGCCTGCCTTGTGTTTTATTCGATTGGGTGACCAACATGTACATACGGTTTATAATCACAACGTAACTTTTATTTTTAATATTAACTACTGCTATTGATCACTATTTAAGTCCTAATCTTTTCTTTGAATGAAACATTTTATCCACAACTGACAACAAGTAATTTACCAGTGATATAAATAAAGTGAATGCAACATATGGTATGCATTGAGATACAGTGCAAAAACATCTCTGCCAATTTAAAAAATTGTTTGACTTTCAACCATTATTTAGTTATTTATTACCTGAGACATTATGATCTGATTCGTATGTTTAAAATTAAGTTTAAAAAAATTTGTGGAATTAAGTTATACTTGAGAAATAAATTTAAAATCTGTAATTTTTTCGGTAGTATATGGGGCACTAAGGGGGGACAATTGTATTGGGGTACATTCCATCATTTTCAGTTGCGCCACTGTCAAGAGATCAGAACCACTCCTGCCCTGAGAATATCTCGAGCGTTTAGGGATGCAGTATTTAATGATTTTATTGCTCAATTAAAAACAGAAACCTTTCGTCCTTCTCCACAATTAAAATCTCCCCCGTGAATTAGGTACTTCATTGCTTTTCTTGATTTCCCATGCGTCCCTTGTTATTTACATGAGTAGTAATGTCATTTTATGAAATGACAATCAATTTACGAATTATTGAACGCGACTAAGAGAATGCAAAACACACCACAATTAAGGTGTATTTTAATTTTTACATAGGACCTTTTGCGCTAACAATAACGAAATATATTTCCCAAAGTTTGAGCGTAATTACTTAACCTAAATTACGTTTACAAGGGTCTCTCATATATTTTTTGCCTGTATACTGTTTTTTTTTTATAAGTTATTTCTGCTCTATTTAAATTGCATTGTTTTTTTATAGGTTGAAGCTGGAGGAGGGTATTTGAACCTAACTGTACCATTGGCTCCCACCACAACAGAGAAAACAACAACAACGACGACCACTGAAAAAATTCAAACTTCAACAACAAAAGAACCGGACATCAACAGGCCTAACGTTACAAACAACATAATTGTATAGGGAATTTTCTTTACAATTAATACTCTTATTTAAGTTTCATATTTAACGATTCCTTTGAATTAGCATCAATAGAACACAAGCAAATAACAACGAACTTTAAATTGCGTTATTAGCTTATACTTTAATTGATTGGAAACAGTGAGAACTGAAGGATTGTGTCCATGTTCAGTTATTCTCTTACCATTACTTATACATATAATATTTTAACAAAATTATAGCTTGTATAAATTAGTAAAAATTGTGCAATCTCTTTTTCATAGAATATGGAGCATAACTTGAGTTTAAGGTTTTATTAGATAAATAGGATCTGAGCTTAAGATTTTGTTATCTGTAAACAATTACATACAAATTGTCAGTTTTTAATGATAAACTAAATGAGACTGTATTGAACATAGCATTTCTGATTTATATGATGTTCTCTTTTAAAATGGACGAAAGCTGTGGGTCAAGTGATCAAAATTTGACTCTATCGATTATTCAGAAAATCAAGAATACCATTCGTGTCATTATTGAATTTATAATGATTTTATTTACTGCCATATTCATTGTTTATATTTCTTTTAGATTTTTGTGCAATGGAGTATTCTTTGTAAAATTGTCCCTAATCTTATTCAGGTGGTATGTTGTATCTCCGAAGCTAGTACGTGTATTTTTGTCTGTATAATAAGACTTATTTATTGTAATTAATTTATTTATTAAATATTTATTCGTGTAATTATGTAATGCAATTTCTCTTATTTTTATTTTATATCCTGTCACTGCTCAATATGGATGAAGGAATGAAGTTCAGCAACTGGCGGTATTCTGTTTTATCAATAGAATGTGGTAGGTTTTGCAATGGTCTTCTTGAGTATGGAGGAAATATCTCCGTTCACAAATTAATATTTATTTCTATGCACCTTTTTACCTCATAACCATTAAAAATGCTTTATTTGTGTTGTCAATCTGATGCTAACTTGGTGGCGTGCTGATGTTGGAAATGTTGACTTTTGAAACTTTACTCTCAGTGAATTCAGGATAACAGCAGGGTAATTCTTAATTTCATGCTAGGCACAGGTCGGCTTTATTAATGTTGTACTATCAGACTCCAAATGCAATCGAAGATGCATATACAGAGCACGAAAACGTACAAGCCAAAAGGTTTTCACGCTTTTGTGACACGTTTAAAAACAAAATAACGTGAGAGAAAATATCTGGTGTGACCACTCACACGACTTTCCTACCTATTTCAGAAAAGCTATTATATCTTTTCATATGTTCATGAAGAAACAAAAAAAAAGAATTGAACTAGATTTATTTTCCTGAAAATTGATCAAACAAAAGATTTGAGTACGATTTATTTGATAAACTAAAGCAATGTAAACCGACTTAAGGTAGATCAGTGTAAAAATTTCTATACTCACCAATATTGCTGATCAAAAACTTTTTGCCATAGCTTAGTATTTTGAAACAATAATTTCTGTTAAAAGTAGAGTATTGTGTGATGCGGGCAACAGATTTTCTTACTTTCGCTTAGTCATCTTTATTCTCTCATTCAGCCCTTTCTGACGCCAGGATATGAATCCGTAATGTTATATTGGAAATTGAATATCTGTAACTTCGTTAATAGTCGTACAAAATGAACGATTTTTATATTGCTTTGGAGGGAATTTCATCACCTTTCAAAGTTTCATCAAAAACGTTAGAGCCGTTTTCGAGCTACATTCAATAAAAAAACATGTTTTTCATTTATTGCGCGCAAGCTATTGCGCGTGGATCACCGAATGTGAATCACTGTCACAGGCATCAGTTGTCAAAACCCTACAAAATAAAAAAAGAAGCAACAAAATCGGGTCAGTAGTTCCCGAGAAAATCTTGGTACAGACAGATAGACAGACATACCAGTGGCTGAATGTGTTTTTCGGACTCAGGGGGCTCTGAAACGTATAGCTCCGTCGAAAACCGCATATCGGAAATTTGACGAAATTGCAATACTTTCCTTACCTATTAAGGTATGAAAGTAAAAATAAATTTATGGGTTTTCAAAATTACATCGAATGTCTAACTTTTGGAGCCGTACTGTTAACACCTAATAGTATGTCAATAAATTAACATTTTACACAAAAGGAATTTTAGAATATTCCTGTATCATTTGATTCTCTGGTAGTTAAATAAAATATCTATCCCAATGTCATTGTCATTTTTACGAACTGTTTAACATTTGGCCTGGACTTATTCAGAACATTGGCAATAAGGTTTTAAATATTATTAAAATACTGCAACACGAATGAGTATTTCAAAATCGGTTTGATATCAGCTGGTGATTATAAAAGTGGGTCGGCAGAACACTTGAAAGAAGATCGACTTGAAAACTGGAAGGAATTCGTTACATCTTTATTAGAAAAAAAGAAAAAAAAAAGGAAGAACAAGTTCCATTAGCTTTCTAATCGACGTAACGCCTCCATGGGGTAGCCCCAGTGCCTCCCAATCGAGGAGGAAAGTCACGCACACTCAAGAAAGTGGAATGCATTCATAGGATGAGAGCTAAGTTTAAATTCTGTATACGACACCTTTTTTGAAAATAGTGGCAAAGTTACCGCTTCTACGACCAAGCATCATAAGCGGAGAATGATCGATGTTAAAGCAACCTAAACTAACCAGAAAAAAATATTTTGTAGTTGTTCAAACAAACCGCTCAAAGTTATTTGTAGTGGAATTCTGCCGGTTTTGGGTCGTTAAACGGTATTTAAAGTGTGCTTTCCAAAAGCTTATATATTTTCTGCATAGGTACTGTTGATATCTACTTCGATACGTGTTAACTATTTACAATTTTATCATTTTAATGAAATAAAGTTTTGAAGGTATGTAACGGATTTCGAGCCAACGGTTTCACCAATTTTTAGGTTTTGTGGCTATAAATAGTCTCACATTCAATGAGATGGCATGAATGTTTTGAAACAATGTATAATATTAATTATATTTCAAGTATTTGTGATTTGATGTTAGTACCTAGGGTAAATTTGTGATTATGTGTGCTGAATATAGTATGCCAATAAATCAAAAACTGCAAACAGTAAAATATAAATTTTTTTTTTTTTAAATATATAAAATATAAATTAATTTTTAAAAAAATCACTACAAAAATAACACTATCAACCCGAAAGAATAGAATGTATTTGCATATAGAGTTTAGCACATAAACAGATTCTTGACTTGACTAGGGAACATGACGTACTTTCGTACTTCGTACAGCGCATAATAGGAATAGGTACGTTCCTCTACCAAATCATTAACAGCCATCCTCCTTCTTACGCCTACAACCTTCTCCAGTTCAAATCCTCAGTCCATCCCCTGTCCACAAGATCTCGACCTTCTAACCTTTACATGCCTTCTCACAAATCTGCCTCATTCCAAAACTCCTTTGTTGTTCGCCTGTCAATTTCTGGAATTCCCTCCCTATCAAAATTCGACATTCCCCATCCATATCCAAATTCAAAACCCTCCTATTTCAATTCCTATCCCAAGAACAGTCAGATAGTTGCTAACCATTCGAGCTGATTTTAATAGAGAATTTGATACATACAAATTCATTGATTGATTCATTGATACATTTTTAATTTTAATTCTTTATTATTTTCTCAAAAGTGTATACGAGTCTATCAGTGCAAATAGCTTTAAGTGCCTTGTCATAGTATTAATTGTTTTGTATATAGTTTCGTTTTTTGTATATAGAATGTTTACCTTATATTTTTTTTACATTATTTCTTTTTTCGATTGATTTTATTTTGGCCAGATGTGATCTTTTAATTTTGTTCTATTTTGTTATTCTCAAGGGACTGTGTCTCAGAATAAAATTATTTTTCTATCTATTATTTTTCTATCATAATAACTATTTAAAAATTCTTTACTTACCAAACTGAAATGTTTTCAAAACTAATTTACAGCAAACTTACAATTATTTCATAATATTAATAATAAAATATATTGTTTAAGTAATGTAATGGATAGAATTGGCATCTGTAGATTAAAGATCCTAAAATCCGCATTAATTTTTTTAATTACTTAATTATTTAATTAAGGGTACCCACTAGCTTTAGAAGGTTTTCCCGACTATAGGATTGATTCACAATTGACATGAAATAAAAATAATAATTACTTACTTACCTAATAATTACAGGTGGGTTAGAATCCGGAACCCGGAGTGCATTATTCACTGGGCTACTTCGCTTCCTTCCAATTATACTTGATTCTTATCATTCACATGTTAAATTTGAATGATATTTTTTCCTAAATGGTCACACTTCCAGATCCACAAAACTTATTTTTGGCTGTAAATTTTTTCCTAATAAAATCCCACTCTTTCTTCTCCGATTGTAGTAAAATTACTAAGCAATATTTTCATTGCCTTTATTTTTATGTTTATCATATTGTACAATAGCTTAGGCTTCTTCTCATATTTTCTCGAATAGTCTAAAATGGATTGATCGTCTAATTCGATATTGATTTAATGCTATACTGTAGCATAAGTCATAACTCTATGAATTGTATGTTTAAAAAACAAATAATTTAATCAGAAAATTTTAAATTTTTATTAAAAATTATAAAGAAATGTTTTCTTTCTCAAAATAAATTAAATCTGCACGTTATTAATAAAAAAAGTAGATTTTGAAGTAAATATTATTAACATAAATTAAAACTGCATATCAGGGGAAAAACAATATTTTATTGTTATGAAGGATAAAGAAAAATACAATTACTCCAACCAAAAAAAGCCCCCAAATTTTATCTTATCAAATTAATTAGCTGTTTATATTTATGGCCACCAAAAATGCATTTCCGTATTAAGTGAAGTAAAAATTAATTTTTGAAATTACTTGCAGATTTATATTTTAAGAACTAGGTTTCATGCACCGAGATCCTATATTAGCTCACAAATTGGATTATAGGGATTGAAATAAGAACATTGGGGTTGATAGGGAGGGACAGGCTTGCATATCCTAAATTGGTAATGAATAAAATGACCAGACGTCCCGATTATGGCGGGACAGTCTCGTTTTCTAACAATTTTTCCCGCGTCTCGCGGCGTCTTGAAAGAGTCCCGATTTTCGGCAGCCATGTAGCTATTTCGCCAGGATATGGTTTTTATGTTATTTTTGTTATGTTAAACTTCAATGATAAGTTAATATATACTCACAAATTAATAAATTGTTAAGAATTGATTATCAAGAATTGCTTAGAAAAGTTCGCATAGTTGTTCAGTTGTTAGAATTCAACCAGCATTTTTTAGACTTAATGATAATAAATGGTCCTTTTAATGATATATCACTATTAAAACAAGTGTATTGATAAGGAAAAGGTTATCACTACTAATTTTAACTAATTTCCCCTAGTCAATGGTGTCACGCTTTACCGATGTTAAAATCTGAAAAAATAAAAGGCTAATAAGGTCTTTTCTCATTAAATTAATTAATTTTATTGGGCACTAAAAACTCATAAATACCTATTTGCTTTCCGATTGAATTTTAAGATAATTTGATTATGGCCCAACAGCAAAAGGCCCAATGTTTTTGTAGGGCATCTTTATTTTCGATTTTATGATCAAATTATCTTACTATTTGAGTAATTATCTTATAATTATATTGTAATAATTATCTTACAAGTGAAAAGAAAATAATTACTTATGAGTTTTATTACCTACTAAAATGAATTACTATATTAATTACTCTGGACAAAAGACTCACTTGGAATCCTCATACAAGACTGAAAAATCAGGAAACTGATCGACGTTTTCAACTATTCCAGCACTTCCTAGACAAAAAAT